CTGTCTGAATGATTGGATTTCTCTGAATCTTTGGAAACAGGAAATTATGAATTTATATGTGCGTTTAAAACTCAGTAAATTTAAAAATAAGTTATTCGAAAATTCGCTTGAAGATGAAACAGAACTAATGCTTTTAATTTAATTATATAATTAAATTTGAAGTTTTTAGCTTCAGTTTTTGAAACACGGTTATTACTGTGTAGCGAAAAACATATTTTAAATCAGTTAATATATATATATATATACAAATTTAAAAGAACGAAGAGTAAGATTTCAGTGTTCGAAACATTAATTTAAAACAGGGCTCAATACCAAAGTAGAGCAATAAATATTAGTACCATTGTGATTTCCCACCTGAGGAAACGTTAAAAAAATTTTTAACGTTGAAACAAGATGTACAGCTTTGTAGTGGTTATGTGCATATTCTACTGTAACACTGCCTAATATATATATATATATATATATACTCTAGACTCTCCCGTCGATTTTGACGTATGAGAGTCAAGCAGATCAGTTCCTAATAAAACCGACAGCACGACAACAGCACATGAGATTTGATTATAGTGGTGAAGGTTTCGTGCACACTTCTTGAAGGTCCGAATACAGAGACCTGGTGCACTGTGTGCCACAAGTTCCCCAAACAACCCTCCGCAGGTTTTGAATCCAGAGTTTTCCTTCTCCTAGACCACTTGCCATCCAAGGCTATAGAAGCCAGTCTGTCCTGCTATTTACCTATAGCTGGAGGGAGAAGAAGAGGATTGACACCTTTCCCAAGGGTAGTAGCACGTAAGTGAATGTAATGGATTCGACTGGAATTCGAATTCAGCTCTCCGATTCCTCAATCCGAGCCGCTCTCCACTACCCAACCATACCTATATATTTATAAGACAGTATTTATTAGTATAAAGAATTGATTAAATAATTAACAAGTAATTAATAAGTAATGTTAATGAAATTAATGGGAAAATCACTTAATACTTAGTACTTTCGACAATTTCAAATTGTCATCTTCAGGACATAGTAGTTCCATTTACAGGTAAATTGCAAGATGAAATAACGTAGAGCGAAATAATTGTAAATAATATGTCTTGAAGATGAAAATTTGAAATTGTCGAAAGTACTAGGTGGCCGAGAATTATTAATTCAATCTAACAATAATTCACTTATGAGGATCGCGTTATTCAATGTATTAATAGTAAGTTAATATTTTATTAAGCCTATTATCGAAGTGATTTCGTCATTAATTGTATTAACATTACTTATTAATTCTTTGTATAATCACTTCTTTATATATATATATATATATATATATATATATATATATATATATATATATATATATATATATATGTGTATGTATGAAAAAGAACGAATACAACATACGCTGGTTAGAATTATACAATACGAGAAAGGCTGAAGAGACACAACTAAACTATCATCATTCATATTTCTACTGTTGCTGTTTTTGTTTTAAGGCTGCCATATTTTAAATTTATTTCGACACATTGTCCTTCAATTATCCACCAGTATAATAGAGAGAATTTATATATTCTATTCTATTATATCGCTGAGATGGGATAACTGGGAACTGTACTAACGAATTAGTTTTCAAAAATGAAAACAAATCGTATCATCGCAGATGTCTTAAGAAATAAAAAGAAAGCAAAATCCTCGGAGTATCTGAGAACGGAAGTAAGCCAAACATTAAAGCCGAGTTGATCGTTGCAAACACGGAAAAGAGATTATCAATGTCGCTGTCCCAATCGACCGCAGAATGAAGCCAAAAGAAAGCAAAAAAATTGGAAAAATACCAGGATCTCGCCCGGGAAACTGAAATCTGAGAAACAAGATTATGGCCGTACCAATGAAAACAGGAGCAGTTGGAGCCCTTCGAAAGCATTAGAATCGAAGCTGAATAAATGTTTTGTGGTAATTAAGATGTTCAAGTAACAATGACAATTGAAAACCTTTAGACATTTACTCATAGAATACGAAGGGAATGACATATCGTGTTCCAGTTATAAACGTCACGGCGGGTGCGTCTAAGGAATGTAGCTCGCCAGAAAGAAGGCCATGGAAATAACGATAGAATAGCAAGAAGGTCGCGTCTTTTCGTCTGTGGAAAAAAGGTTGCAGTGTGGAAAATAATTAATCATCTACAAGGTCGTGTAGACCGTTTTGAACTCTAACAAAACAGGCAAATGAGGATTGGTTATCTCCAGCTCAGATATGGCAGTAATATTCCATTTTTGGTCTGATTTGTCTCTTGTAAAGACAGAGAATACGAATGTCACACAGATATTTAGTAGAGCCGTACAATGAAGCTGCTGATTGATTCTTCAGCCTTCCTTAGTTCAACAAAAACTGAAAGCTGGGTAAAGATGTATATACGTTAAAATTATGATTTACCAAATTTCGTAAGGGATAGAAAGATCAATAGACAGATAAAAGAGAGGATGTAGTAAAAATACATCGGGATTTGTCATTTTTATATTTCCAATAAGTCAAAGAAGAATCAGCAATATTATTAGTCCTGACCTGGCACCACGACTTCAGTTACTTTCTCACCGTCGTAATGTAGCTTCCTTATCTCTGTTTCTCTAAATACTTTCATGGTTATCGTTTTGATAAACTTTCCGCTGTGGTACACTTTGGGGTTAGTTTTTAAATTGTTTTTTCCCCTTCCATTACAGACACGAATTGTACGTATGGGGACTAATTAGGTGTTTCATATAGACAAGGACACAGTGGATAAAGGTGTTAGTTAGATCCAGTGACAGGACCCAAAGTGTGTGAGTTCAATACCCGGTTAAGGCAGTGGAGAACTTTCAGAGGGAAATTAACAGCAGATAACTTATAACTTACATCCATTAAACATAGACATTCCAACCACCTGAAGACGGCCGTAGTGTACAATGGCCGAAACGTTGTAATAAGTATGGCGACAAAGATGAGGACAATAGTCCGAATAATGTAAATAATGTACATAATAGCTTATCTCAGAAATATAGGCAGATACTGAAAGGCCAAAACGTTGTAATAAATACAGTGACAAAGATGAGGACAATAGTCCGAATAATGTAAATAGTGTACATAATACCTCATCTCAGAAATATAGACAGATACTGAAAGGACGAAACGTTGTAATAAATATGACGACAAAGATGAGAACAAGAATCCGAATAATGTAAATAATATACATAATACCTCATCTCAGAAATATAGACAGATACTGAAAGGCCGAAACATTGTAATAAATAAGGTGACGAAGATGAAGACAATAGTCCGAATAATGTAAATAATGTACATAATACCTCATGTCAGAAATATAGACAGGGACATTGAGGTATCATGGTGGTAACTATATTGCTTTGGTGTTATGTATAATGTGGTATGTTTGAGTCAGTGATTGTGTTTAAATTTAAGACAGATGAAGACCGTCCTTTTTCCCATTTTGGCCTTGCGCCACATTCTGTATTTTCACAAATAAATATCACTTTCCACAATGGTACAAAGACTTTATGAATATAAGGGCAGTACGAAATTGACGTCAATGTCCCATTAATTCAAAGTTCAATTGGCTAAATGTAACCGTAAGTTCTATTCCAACAGTTGCTTTTTTTCGCACTTCTCGCTTGTGGAACACTCTTCCAGTTACATGCTTTCCAGTCAACTTTGACCTTCCAAACTTTAAATGCAATATCAATCTTTATCGACTGTCTTCTTGACTACTTTTCTGTTGTTTTTTCTTATTTTTTCTTGTTCTTTCCCACTAAGTAACCCCTTGTGTTTTAGTAGCTTCACTGCCTTCAAATGGGATGTAATGATTTTTAAAAATGTAGAGACGTACACCTATCATTGGACGGGTCAGAATGAGGTCAAAGTGTCTGTCTGTATCTCTGAAATGAGGTATTATTTACATTATTCGGACTGTTATCATCATCGTCATTGCCATATTCAAGGACACATGGCTCAGTGGATAAAGACGTTAGTTAGATCCAGTGACTAAACCGAAAGAGTTGTGAGTTCAATATCAGGCCACAACAGTGGTGAACCAAAACTTTTACACTTGAGTTAAAGGAAAATAACTGAGACATCCGGAAGAGGCATTGTACGTGGAACTAGAACAATTCACCCCCGGTGGGCGAAATAAAGATTTCTGTTCAAAATTCCAATCACCCGAAGAAGACCAGAATGTACAACGGCCGAAACGTTGTGAATATGGCAATGAAGACGAGGATAACAGTCCGCGGTCAAATTGGCCAAAGAAGTACGGATAGATGAGATAATATAGTATTTTAGTTTTTAGTATCCGTTAAATGGTCATTGCTTTTTCGCAATATTTTTTTCTTCTTCAAGTTTTAGCTGATATAATTTTTGAACAGAGATTGAGAGTTCTAGACCCAACATTTACTCTACTATTTGCCGGGTACACATGTCTCTTGTCAAACCTTTTCTCACCTGTGCAGCACGAACAACAGCCGAATCTTGGGTTGCGGCGATAAACAACAAATCATTTCAACGCGTTCCTCAATGCTAACTTTCATTTTCTGTTTGTGATGAATGTCAAATATTGTTGAAGACGACAAAAAAAGAAAGAAAGAAAGAAAGAAAGAAAAAGAAATGAAAAATATCAAAAGCAAAGAAGTTGTCAGAAGTGAAAATGTTTTGAAATCCTGTCTATTCAACTCAACTGTAAGATGTTATTGTTTTAGTTGAATTTCAATTTTTCTCTTTTCAAAAGACGAAAGCGATTATATTTAAGAGCGAACAAAACTGATACAGGAACAAAGCTGAGCGCGGTTTTCATTTCCTCCTTAAGCTGCTGATCGTCGTTGAAACTCATTCAACCAAATACAGCTTACTCACTGCCACTGTTTTTTTTTTTTTTTTTTTTCACACTCTCCCACTCTGGGTTTATAACAAATTTTCTCAGTATCAACTTACTATAATGATTTAACTTGCGTTTATCTTCCTTCATCGCTTTATTGTCATGTAAGATGATTCGATCCTATCTATCTGTCTGTGTCAGTGTGCCAGTTTTCTCACATCTATCATCTATCTATCTATCTATCTATCTATCTATCTATCTATCTATCTATCTATGTCTGTCACATTCTGTTATTATCTATCTATCTATCTATCTATCTATCTATCTATCTATCTATCTATCTCTGTCTCATTCTGTTACTGTTCTGTTATCATCTATCTATCTATCTATCTATCTATCTATCTATCTTTGTCTGTCACATTCTGTTATCTATCTATCTATCTATCTATCTATCTATCTATCTATCTATCTATCTATCTATGTCTCATTCTGTTATCTTTCTATCTCAGTCTGTTCTCATATATCTACCTTTGTCTGTCTAAGTCTCTCTCTGTCTGTCTATATATATATATATATATATATATATATATATATGTGTGTGTGTGTGTGTGTGTGTATGAATAAAAAGAGACAAGAGTAAAAACTATATTTAGCCGACGCCTTTCGTCCTCGGAGAGACTTTATGAGGGCAATGTAGGATTATATATGCTGCACGTGTTTATATACACAGAGGCGAGGATGTCATTGGTTTATCAAGGCTTGTAAATTTGAGAACATTCATGAATGTCCGTCAAGTGGTTGAAAGGTCAGTCAAAGCAAATGGACGACACAAAATCTGGTAAAAAGTAAAGTGAGCGAGTAATATTCAGCATTATTTATTTTTTATGAATATTGAGTGGATTGTGATTAGATTGTTATGGTATAAGATGTGCTGTACATCTTCAAACCAAGAGGTGAGGGATTTAATGCTGTATGTTGGCTTAGGAAAATAATAATTCTTTTACTGAAGGTGAGATTGAATTAACACTTTCCCAAGCCAACATACACAACAACAAATATGTCGAAAAATCAAAAGAAAACGGTTAGATCCACCCCATTTATACCTTTCTTTTTGTGACCAGGATAACAATATTTCTGAAATTTACCGTTTTCCATTGGGTAAACTGGCGTATGTGAACATTCTCGTTCACGCAAAATAGGAAAAAAATGACATATGGTTCAAAAGTAACATTTATTTATTCTAGGATTATACAAAAGAGCTATACAAGCCAAAACATGACAACATTTAAGGTCAATTCTGACGTTTTTAATGATAGAGGATAGCGCCCAAAATCACGTGATTACTGAGCGGGTATAGGGAACCAATCATTTTTCCTGTATCTTTAGCGTTGGATCTTCCAGTTGAGGTTAGGGTGCGTTTATGGCCATTAGTTTCGGAAGGGACGGAGCCTCCCCGAACTGGTGGTGGAGGTACATCCATTCATCATGACTGGTGGTAATTCGGGTCCGATGGAATGTAACTAGTTTGGTTTTGGAGACATTGAATATAAGCCGCCGAAAAGTTAAAGGTCAGGCGAGAGATCAGCCGCCAATGTCTGATCATTATGAGTTGTGGAGGTACACCACTATATCGTCATATCATAAGCAGGCATAGATATTCACAAATGAACTAAGTATATGGGGACGTCTGAGGACTGATAGTTAACTACTGCATTCAGGGACCTATCCGGTAGAAAGGACTTTATAAATTAGATGACCCTTCCAGTGATTCCATAGCTAGAGAGCTTGAACAGCAAACCTCTGTGTCAGACCTTGTATTGATTTATCATCAATATTAATATGATTGCTCTGGTTCCCGGAGGACTGACCATTAACGTTTACCTTCAGGGACCTACCTGCTAGGAAGGACTTTATAAATGAGATGATCCTTCCAGTGATTCTATAACTTAAGATTTTTACACAAATTTCTTTATATAATTTACATAATTCATTGAATTTCATATTAAATTATGTCAGGTTATGACGTCCTTCGAATCCATTACATTCACTTATGTGCTAATCCTCTTAAGAAAGTTATGATTCCTCTTCTTCCCGGCCCCATCTATAGGTAAATAGCAGGACAGACCGAGTTCTATAGTCTTGGATGGCAACTGGTCTACCGCAGAAAGAAATGGCAACCTACTGTGGGAAAAAATCTGCCCCGTCAGTCATGTATCGTAAGATACATGATCGCCTAAGCGTGTATTACGCATGGCATATAACTGACTGACTGAAGATTTAAAATTCTAGTGACATGAAAAATCACTGTGTTTTTTATATTATTTTTCATGTACCGTGTCCCCTCAAGACGTAGGCGATCATGGCTCTCCACAATTTCCTGTCCTTTGTAGCTCTTAGTAATTTTTTTTTTGTTATTTCTCCCACACCCTGAATTCATGTTTAATAAGTATGTTATTTGCCATGATATTTCTTGGGATTACTTGTGGAGTGGTTTCCCGTTGCCTTCTCCAATTCTAGTTAGCTGGCCGTTGACTCAGAGAGAATACTTCTACACTTTGTTAGGTCTTATTTTTCGTCCTACTGGCTCGCTTACAAGCCACCTCACTCGCAAGGGTTAGGTTTAGTCGTCGACATTCTGACTGTGGAATACTTACTCAATATATATATATATATATATATATATATATATATATATACAGACCACCACTCAAATCTATTTGCGAGTAAGAGGTTTGTGGGTCTGAGTTAGTAAGGAGGAGACTGAAGATTGGTAATGTGAGAGAATAGAATAAAAAACATTTAACTTATACTAAATTCCATTATCTACTATGAAAACAACGCGCGATTATCGAGGAATTCCATTAGAGTTACACTAGTTACCAAAAACCCGAAGTAAGCAAGAATACATAAGATATATATATATATATATATATATATATATATATATATATATTTTAATTTTAATTATATATTTAATTATCTTGCGAGACCAAAACAAAGTATTAAATAAGCGACCTAAGCAATTTTTACTACGTTAATAAAATATCGAGAACCGAAAATAAAAAATGAAAATAAAAACATGTAAAATAAATTAACCCAAATAAATAAATAAATAAACAAGACACTTCCGCCCAAATAACCGCCAGAAATGATTACCCACAATTCACCACTGACCCATATATATATATATATATATATATATATATTCGAGAAAAATCCAGCACATGCACCCTGACGATTACGTCTAGCATGAAACTGCGTGTCGCCTCTGAGTGTCGACTTCAATGTTCACTTTTATATTTATATATCTTTAAACATATATATGCGAACATGCGGAAATGTTTATTTACACATAAGCCCAACCGGTCCAAAACAAAAATAAAATAAAAATACATCCAAACAATGTTATCGAAAAAGAAATCATTATTACTTCCAATTGGAATTTCATGTCATTCTTACTAACTTCGAATCAATAGTCATTTAATGAAAAGTGTAGTAGACACTACATTTATCTGGATTTTCAGGGGCAAAATGCGATGGGAGAAATAATAAAAAAAAACAAACAAACGAAGTGTTGTCTTCAATGAGATGCTAGGGTGAGCAACCATCTTTTAAAACCTTGTACGATAAAGGAGGATATCGTTGGCAAAAAGAAAACAGTACTGAACTGCCGCGTGATATCATTCCTCTTTTACGGCAGCGAATGAAGGAAGGTACCATAAAGATAAAGAAGAGACTTGAGGTTACGGAAAAGGGGGAGATGTGGTTCTACAGAAGGATGATAAGGATATCATGGACCGACATATGAACAACGATGAGGTTTTGGAGAAGATGCAAAAAAAGGAGGAAGCTTATACTTAACTTCAGGAAGAGGTAGCTAAAATATCTGGAATACTCAACGAGGAAGTAGGGATTGGATAATCTGATACTCACAGGGCGAAGAGAGGGAAAGAAAGACCAGGGAATGCAACGTGTGATATACCTAGCGGGCTTAAGGAAGTCGATGACGGAAAAGGGGGAGGTCTGGTTCCACTGAAGGATGATAGGGATGTCATGGTCAGAACATATGAGCAACGATGAGGTTTTGGAGAAGATGCAAAAAAAGAAGAAAGATTATACTTAACTTCAGGAAGAGGTAGCTAAAATATCTGGGATACTCAATGAGGAAGGAAGGCTTGGATAATCTGATACTCACAGGGCTAAGACTCACACATCCGGGACATGGTATCTGCAGCATTCTTCAGTAGAACCACATTTCTTTTGCTTCGTGTATATTCTTCACCTTTGAGTAGATTTCCAGCATTCACTGCCACATAGAAGGTCCTATCTCATACAACAGTTCAGTAATCTTTTCTTTGTTTTTAACGAAGTTTTCCTGTTTCTTGATACCCTACTTAGCTTTTGAGAAGCACTCCGGATTTCAGTGTTGCTCACCCCATCTTCTGCTAAAACACTTCCCAGAACATATATTTAAGTAGAGTTATCTTAACACGTGATGTGCATATTTACATCTGAGAAATTGTGAGTCAAGTTATAAGAATTACATAAATAAATAAATATATATATGCTTGTGTGTGTGTGTGTGTGTGTGTGTGTATGTGTAGGATGTATAATAGTATGCGAAAGAAAGTTGAAGAGGATGAGACAAAGTGGAATATCTATAAACGACGTATTTTGCGCCGACGTCTGTTGCAGTTTCTTCAGGTCAGAACTAATTAAAAAATAGTCTTCCAGCGAAATCATCTTCAATGAAGCCAAGAAAGGTTATGAAACAGTCATAAAAGATACATATAGACAGCACACGGCACACACAAAAAAAGGCAACAGGAAAAGAAACACATCGTCCAACCTACCGTACAACAAAAACAAAAACAAACGCAGGAAAATATTCATTAAACTCATACAGAAAGACTCCCTCATCCAGAATTTTATATCAGATATTCAGGAAAAAAAAACAGTAAAAATAAGCGACAGTTACACCTAGAAGATGACATAATTAATAAAAAGCACAAAAGGAAAAAAGCCAACGAATCACCTGCAGAAATCAAATACACTTGTAACTGCAGAGCAAAGAACGAATGTCCCTTCAATGGCAATTGTCCGAAGAACAATATAATATACCAAGCCAGAACAATATAAATAATACCAATCAGTAGATAACGAAGAAAAATATACATGGCAGTAGCTGAAGCAACCTGGAAATAAAGAAATTCGCACACAAAACACTGTTCACAAATAGTAAATACGCGAACAGCACAATACTTTCTAAACAAATATATGAAATTAAAAACAAAAACCAAATCAAACCAATCATATCATGGAAAATAAAGAAAACAGCATCAGCCTACAGCAATAGATCAAAAAAACGAAACTGTAATTACCTTATCAGATCAACTTACTAAATAAACAGTCAAAACTCACAATGCAGACACAAAAACAAATTTTACTGCGTCACTTAAAAATGGAAAACTAAAAACGAACGAATGTAATTAAGTACAAAAATAAAAT